GACCAGTCTAGGTAAATTGACTTACATGCGCCTTATGTCTGTAGGGAAACATTTAGATCTGTAACCAAGCTGAACATAAAAGGTCTTAAAACTGGAAGGGGTCTTGGAAGTCTTCTACTTCCATCTTCAACCAACTCAGGAAGGAATTTCTCTAAAACATCACTGACAGGAAGTCATCCAAATCTCTGCTTGGCTACCTCCAGGGTGCCTGCAGGATTTCATATTAGTTTCCATTTCTGCAGGAAAAAGGTTTTCTTGGTCTGGTCATCTAATTTAGATTGTATTTCAAGGATTGAAGTGGACATTTTATATTTGTGTGTTTATGTCTTAAGGGCAGGGACCGTCTTTGCTTCTTTTTGCATCCCAATTACTGAGCATAGAGCCTGAAATATAGTAGACACTAAATAAATGTTTATTGATTGATTCTGTCATTCAATGTATTCAGATTTGTGTCATCTGAAAATTTGAAAAGGAAGGAAGGAAAGAAACCTGCACGTATTAAGCACCAAAGTACCCTATGTGCCAGACAGTGTACTAAATGCTTTACAAATATTATCTCCTTTGATCCTCATAACAACCCTGGGAGAAAAGTGCTATTATAATCCCTATTTTACAGATGAGCAAACTGAGGCAGAGAAAGGTTACCTGGGGTCACTGGATTTGAACTCATGTATTTCTGACTCTAGGCCCAGGGCTCTATCCACTGTGCTACCTAGGTGATTTCTATTTCTTCATATAAGCTGTTGACAAAAGTATCATGATAAGTGTCATCAAAATGTCATTTTCAAAAAGAACTATCCAAAAATTGAGTTGGGATGCCTTAGGAAGTAGTGGGTTCCTCCTCACTGGAGGTCTTCAAGGAAAGGTTGATTGACCTCTTGTTGGGATTCTCATTCATGCACAGATTGACATAGATGGCCTTAGAGGTCTCTTTTTATATTATATTTTATTTATCTCTATTTATTTATTTATTAGAGGTCTCTATTTATTATTAAAAAAATTTATTTTTATTTATTTATTTATTTTATTTAGACCTTTTGTGATTCTGTTACACTGAACAAGATCGAGCTGAGAGCCCAGCTTGGTGACTATCTTTGGGTATGCTATTTTCATAATTCACTATCTGGGACACATAAAAATGTTTTCGATGGTTCTTCAGCTTGCCTTGCTAAACCCACATTTCCGATCCCAGTAGAAACATTTCCTTTTATTTTAATTATGAAAACTAAGAAGAAATATTTAAAATTCTCTCCATCCTATTTATGAGTTAACATTTACATAGTGCTTTAAAGTTTTCAAAGAGCTTCATAAATATTACCATATTTTATCTTCACAACAATCCAGGGTGGTGGGTTATAATTAATTAGCTCCATTTTACAGAAAGGCTATTCTTATCCTCATTTTACAGATGAGGACACTGAGGCAGACAGAGGTAAGTAACTTGCTCAGGGTCACATAACTAGTAAGTGTCTGAGGCTGGATTTGAATTCAAGTCTTCCTGACTCCAGGCTCTATCCAGTGCTCTATCCAGTGTATCACCTAGCTGCCCTGTCCACAAAGATGTTGGGTTAAAAAAAAAATTCATTGACCAAAAGAGGAAAAACTGGAAGTCAGTTACTTCCTTTTAAGTATAATTCTTCCTCGTTACAAACATTTGTGGAATTAACTTGTGTTTGCTTTTTAACATCATTTAAAATAGAAAAAAGTATAGAAGGCAAGACCATGTCTATGTCAAAATTATGTCCCGACTGCCTCAACTCCAGTGACTGGGAATATCTTCTTCAGCAAAAGTTCTGATTTCCCTAAAAACATTTTTGCTATTGTTGTTATTGTTGGCTATAAATGTAGATCTTAAAAATCAGTGTTAAAGTTACTGGTCCAGTTTTTATTTGATTTGTTTCTAAAAGTGCCCAAAATGGAACCTACTTCATCCACTCCCTGGAAACACCAGTCCCTATTCAGTGAAAGCAAATTTGGGAGTGGAACACTAATAACAGAAATAAAATATCTTCCAATGTAGTTTTGTCTTCTAAGACATGGTCTGTCTGCTATACCACTTATACTATTCTTACCTGCCTTCTCAGAGAAACATATTATTCTGACAGGTTAACATTCATGTCACACTTCTCCCCAAAATGGGATTATTCCATTGCTCCACCAAGTGTTCTTACTAGGATGTAAGGCCCCTTTGTTGTAGCTGGAGCACATATACACTTTTCTCTTTCCTGAGATGACATAGCAGGTGTCAACAAAATTGAAATCCTGTATACAGGTAACAAATCTTCCATATAAAAAGTATTGGAGTAAATTCTTGAAGTCTGGTAATATTTATATTCTTCACTCAGCTTAGGAAAAAAATGAGTTCAAACACAATTAAGTTGTGCTGACACCATTTTTAGAAACATACAGGAAAATCACTAAAAAATGTCATAAACGAAGGTGGAAATCAAAACATAAATTCACAAATTGAAAATGGCCACTTTGATCCTTGAAATACAATTTAAATTTGATGACCAGGACAAGAAAATGGGACACATTCCTTTGTCTTGCAGGAATCTGCAAGGAAATTGCATATTTCCTTTATAAAAAGAAAACACATAAAGACTTCATAAGGACATACTTGGGGGGTTTTTAAGTGGCACAGTTTCAGGTTAAAGGTTTCTCTAAATCTCTGCTGCTTCCCAATATGTTTACATTTAAGAGAAAAATCACAACTTAACATGCAAAGCTCTTGTGCTTTCAGGGGCAGTATGATGTAGTTCTACTACAAATAACTTAGATCTGAATCCCAGCTCTGCCACTAAACTACCTCTATGACCTTGGGCAAGTCATTTATTCTCTATGTGCCTCAGTTTCCTCAACTGTAAAATGAAGAGGCTGGACTGGATGACTTTTAAGTTTCCTTCCAACTCTATATTTGGGACTCTACCATCCAATGGAGATCTGCATTGATCTCTGCTGTTTTGTATTCAAATGTTGGTTGTCTCAAGGATATTTTTTCTATCACTGTTTCCTGGAAATAATGCATTTTTAAAATTACATGATAATTTTTCTTCTATATCTACTCATATCTGAAACATAAAGTGAAGGTCTCATAACTATCTGAACCTGTGAGAGGATAGAAGTTAACTAGAAAAACACAGGAATAGACAGGTAACTAACTAACCAATGAGTGTGGGTAAGTTGCTGCATCGACAAAAATGTACCACTTGCCTGGGTGGAGAACATTTATTTCACTGAGAAATTGAGCAATATATTAAAAAAAGGGGGCTCCCCGAGTTCAAATATGAAAACATTTTGAAGGAAAGGGACATTCTGAAGTCTATTTGCCTATTCCTCATGAATTAGAAATTCAACATATATATGGACTTTGCCCAAAAGAGAATAAAGTACATTTCTCCCCCTGTCTCTGATGAATTAGAAATTAAATGTCTTTTATGGATTTTACCTAAAAGACAAATAAGTTTTTAAAATGATCAGCCTCCATGACAGCTAAAAAAGGATTCTTTGGCTACTCTGTGGAAAAGCCTGGGTGCTGACAAAAGAAGCCGAAATTGAAAAGCTGACCCGTTTTTTAGCACTAGGCAGATTCTACTTTGTTTTGATCTACTGGGACTTCTGTAACATGACCCAGAGGATCAGAGACTTAACAGGGAGTTGGGGGGCCAGGCTAGGTTCACGGAATTACAAGGGACCAGCACGTGAGCTCTGAGGGAGACAGATTCAGCACAACTCCCTAGTTCAGTTTTTGGAGGTTTGTGAGGAATCTCCCAAATGATACACACGCTTCTGACTTGGAGTCTGTAAGGCTTGAGAACGATTTTTCTGGACAACAGATCTCCAACCTACGAAGCTAGAATACGCTCTCAAGGAAACCAGTGGCAGCTTCTTCAGAGAGGCAAGGTTGACTACTCTGTATAAGTAAACACATACGTATATATACGTATATGTATACACATGAGTGTATATCATTCATATGTACATATATACATAATGGAGAGGGAGAGGCAGATTAATGATTATCAGTTGTTTTGTGCATAGATTCAACAAGTAAAAACAACACAGCAGAATCTATGCTATATATATATATATACACACACATATACATACATATATACACATATATATGTATGTATATGTGTGTGTGTGTGAGTGTGTGTGTGTGTGTGTGTGTGTGTATCACTGTCCTCAAAACCAAGAAGATCTCATTTCAAGCCCCACCTCTTGACACAGACTGGCTGGTTGACCCTAGGCAAGTAATTTAATCTCTCAGGGCTCTAGGCAATTATCTAAGACTCTTAAATTTCAGAGAAAGTGCTGATTTGCATTGGGAGGAGTTTTCCTCAAGCTGGAGTTCCAACTGCTAATGAAATCACAGGTCCAGTCCCTATTCCCTATTCAACAAGCCTGAAAGTAAAAATTTCTTGTTATCTGGATATGGTATGAATTAACAGTGGTTTTAATCAACAATCACCTACTATATGCCAGGCTCTGGAGATAGAAATAGAGAGCCTGCCAAAACCTTTCAAAATAATGTGTTTCAAACCTTCACTCATCAAAGAGTGAAGAGGGAGAATTATTTTCCTAATTCAGATTGATGAATAAACAACCTTCCTTAAAAATGGAGAATGAATCTAATGTTTCCTGTAACAAGAAGAAATTTAGGATGTATTTTTCTTATCTCCATAAATGGCAAAGTAGATCCATCATCTACTACTCCTTTATGCTACAGACTTCGCTTTACTTCTCACATAAAATAGCAGGAAAACTCTCTACATCCCGCAAAACACCTACTACCAGTTTTCAAACTCCTTGCTGGAATTATGTTCCTATATTTTTATGTAGTCTCTTCCTAAAAAGGTTTACCATATGGTTTTAGACATGTTTTCTATTGGCCAAATACACATAGACACATATAGGTATACATCAATTATTTTCATAGTTATTCACAATTAACATATCTTCTTACTCATACCTGAAAGAATAACAAAGGAACTCACCATTTTCCCATCCATCCCTGGAGTGCCAGACGCTCCAATAGAACCCTAATAGGAAAAATATATTTGGCTTAGGTTGATATTTAGACTATAAAATACTTTCATACTAAATTTAAATGTTTTGTATCATGTCCTACCAAATGGCCTGTTCTAATGCCTCCCCATAGCATATTTCTTAGGGAATTTAACTAATGTCAAAGAATCACTACAATGAGTAAGCCAAAAAAAAAAAAAAAAAAAATTCTATCCACATAGGCCAAACCAAATGGATGAAGAATGTCTATTACCAAGATTTTTTGGTTGGACTTGAAAGCCTTTCCAACAGAATGTGTAACTGAGATGGACAATATATATGGTCAAGGAGTTGGGTCCAACTGTGAAAGTGAGGTGAGTAGGCTAGATTGCTTTCAGGAAAATGCGATGGACCCCAAGCTTCCCATAACAGTAAAAGCCCCCCTTTTTTCAATACAACTATATCGAAACTGTGGTTATCATATAGCAATGAGAACTCAACTCTATTGTCCCTGAAGAACTTAAGATCACATAGAAGGTAACAGAAAAGTGTATGGTGAGTGTGAGCAGGCTCTAATATATAACCATTGAGGAATCCTGAAGAACAGGGTTAAAAGATATCATCAGAGAATTGTATGAAAGAAAGAGAAGATGGATTGGTCATGCAGCAAGAGTGAGGGATGACAGGTGGATATTCAGAACACTTTGCCAGTTGAGACACTCTTGTGCACTCTTGCGAGGTTCAGAGAAAAGGAAAAAAGCCTCTAACACAGTGGGTCAAGCCCTTGTGGTGAACTCTGAGAACATGGATAAGAATCATACAGGAGGACTGGCATTAATGGATTGAAATCTGCATTGTGGGAGGGAACTCAAGAATAGATAAGATCCATTTTAGTATATATTCTCATGATGGATGACAATGAAATTTACACATTTTGAATATAACATCTCAGCAGCCCTTGTGGTTTCTTAGGACATAGAAATGGTACCTAAGAAAATGAAGCAAGGAATCTGGTTAACTATTTTTTAGAAGAAATCTAGTCAAGAAGCAACACAAATGTAAAGGCATCAAGGGATCAGTTCTCCAAGATATATTTTGATGGAAAGAATAATAAAAAGGAAAGCACCATGTGGTAAAATTACCCCCAAAAATGCTTACCAAGAAAACCACTACTAAACCATGTGTACTTTGTCATCTGTATAGAATCATAATGAGAGCAGTCTGTATGAATCTCAAAGGTCTTCTTGATAAAAACATGATATAGGATGACTCTAAAACATTTTCAAAGTAAAAAAAATTGATTAATAGATAGAGAATGCAAAATTCTGTTTTATTTATTGTTGTGGGTTTTTTTTTAACTTCACAATACAGCAAAATAAAGCCTTAAAGTATGTCTTCCAAAAAGGTGCCTCCTCTCAAGATGTTAAGATCACCCCAGATTCCTTGATACCACAGAGATATTGTTGCTCAACAATTCTTTGATGAACAATATCAAGTGAAACATGGGACATATTCACCAAAGTTGTCCACCATTGTCATAGAAAAAGTCTTACTTAGAATCCAAATGGTTGAGGGATTCCCTCTAAATGGCCAGGTTTTTCAGATGTTCTTGTTTTTCAAATGCATTGAGATGATTATATCCTACTTCAGGGTCTTCTTAATTAGATCCATGAGCCCCTCCTTTGAGTTATTCCAAAGAGATAGGTCTAACAATCCACACAGCAAAAATCAAGTGAGTAAACAATGCAAACCGCCAAGGCTTGAGCTAGAGTTCGATGGGCAACCTGATGAATTAACCTTCTGTATACACATTCCAAAGGAGTGCTGATGGATAATGTCAGGCTCAGAATTAAATAGGAGTAGATCAGACTGGACTGCATTTGGGAAATTGCACTATACTTTAAGATCCCAGATTTTCTTTATCACCAAAGACCATCTTTTTTCTTTCTTTGTAATGACAGTTATTCTAGAAGAAGACGAAGGAGGAGGAGGAGGAGGAGGAGGAGGAAATCATTCAATGGAAGAGGACCACTCAATCAACCCCATTTTAGGGTTGTCTTGGTAAGGGTACTGAAATAGTTTGCCATTTCCTTCTCTTGCCCATTTTACAGACGAGGAATGGAGTCAAACAGGGTTAAGTGACTTGCCATAAAGATACATGGAGATAAATTTTAAAAGGCAAAAACTCCTGCACTAATATGGCATCAACTCCACTATTTCAATGGGGTTTTCTTTTCTTCTTGGTGAGTTTTCTTTTCCACCTCTATGAAATCTCTAAACCTAGGGCTACTTATTTCCCATGTCATCTTTTGGCCAATGCAAGATCATGTAATGATACTTTTCATGCTTCCTTAGAAACTAGAAAATTAAAATCAAATACTGTTTTTATTCTCCACGAGTCAAGCACACTAATCCTGTTAAATTTAATATGTGATCCTAATAAAACAATTCATAACTTAGATCGAAATCCAAATGTTCCAGCTGGTGACACTGATCTATCCGTAGTACTTGCAGGAGATGTCGGCAACGTGTAGAAAAATTTAACAAAAACAACTCTTTTAAGATGCATGAGTTTCAGTTACATGAAACAGAAGGTAACAAAAATAAACTCTGTCCCATCCTGAAACCAATAAAAAGGCAAGAGAGAAAGAAGAATTAAGAAGAACATGAGAATTGAAAGATATTTGGTGGGGGAGGGAAGCAAATAATTGTATGATATTAAAATTCTCAGTATTCACAGTAACTTTTTCTCTGGATTTACAAAGACCAAAACTAGATGTCAGTATTTAGACCAGGTGAATATATATCGAGTTTTGAAGTGGTAATGTGTCAGAGGGCAAGAAATAGAGCCATTAAATGTTGCCCAAAGCAAAGCTATGGCATCTAGTCAGGCACAGAAAGACATTAAGAAATATTTTCAGACATTCCTTTCACTTCCCCTCTCAGAGTACACCTTCCTTCCTAGGCTGTGGGTAAGCCATGTTTTAAATTCAGCACGTACATTCCTTTCCTGGCACCAGAAAACAAACAGATTTTTTTCTTAGCCTCTGTAAAATGTTAAGATGGTTTTATTTTAATTGAAAAGGATTTTATTAAAATATAACCTCTTTTGCCAAATGATTTGAAGATTTCTGAAGGCGAGTGATATAAAGAGTCACTTCCTCCGCTTACTGCTAATATTATGTGTGTTATTAATGGACTTCCTAAAGACTGAAGAAGTAATTTTGTCCCGGCAGTGGGTGGATTAGGGTAGCTTTACAATTTCACGCTGTGCCTACTGGAGGCATTATTGTTAAGGATGTGGTGTTCTGACATGAATTATCCTACAACTCATTAGCTTTTACTTTGGTTTGAAAGATTGTGTTTCGACAGATGACAAGTTGTTGTTTTTTTTAAAGGCTACATCTCTGGATGCAATATGAAATTTTAAAATCGAGAACAACTGCTTTTTTTATTTGTGCTGTTACCAGGGACTCTATTCAGCTTTCTTGAATACTTTTTTTGGACAGATATGTAACATTATCTTCTATACTGAAAAACATTTTTAATAATTGGGAATTAAGTGGTATTTGTGTAAGATGATGGCAAGGAGCCATTGATAAGCTTTCACTGGTTTGCTGAATGAGCTACTGATGTATTTAGTATTGTGTAATGATGCAATCCCTCAAACTCTTGGTTCACTCCACCAAACTGCAGCATTTAATCCTGGTGAGTATAAATAATGCCCAAAAGACTCAAAGAAAGTGAATTCTCCAGTTACCTTGGCAACAGGAAGACAGCCCTGAGCCACCTGTGCACAACCAGCCCAGCGCTATTTACTAACAACACCTACCTTCCTGGTTTCTTGTGGTCAGCATTTGGGTCATGTTGGCAACAGAGCATCCAAGTAAAGTCACAATCCATTTAATTTGAGCCTTTATCTCCCTCTTCACTTTTTTTTAAAAGCTTGACTTTGTAGTTTTACTAGTACTCAAAACCTTTTAACTCACAAGTTCCAAAGACAGACTGAAAATAGTCTAATATGGATTGCTTAAATTTCCTATAATGGGGGAAATTAGAAATCTTATGTATTTTGGGAAAACAAACTTGACAGTCTAAACTAATTGCTCCAATGTGGCTTACAGTAGCTAATTCTATTCACCTCACAGAGTTGCAATTTGGCACTAAGGAGCATAATTACTTTCACAGTATTATTGTTTATACTCTACCTTTTGTCCTGGAGGCCCCTGAGGTCCCTGAAAAGGGAAAACAATTCAATTAGCATAATAATATCACCAATTTAAGCTTAAGTGACCAATTAAAACTGTCCCATTCTATAAACCTTCCTATGCTGGACTGAATCCAGCTGATGCTTTGTGCATCAAGGGAAAGGAAAACTTTCAGCTGAAAATACACAATGGATCTTTTCTTCTCTTTTCTGAAATAGCATTAAGCATACGCAGTAGGATTCTGATTTCTCCCATTTCTTTTTCTTAAGTCTTTGCTATTCCAGTCCATCTGTTTCTTCAAATACCTGCAAACCTATAGTATCAATCTTACTTAGACAGCTAAAGATTTTCTTCAGTTAAAAGGCAACAGTGGTCCCAAACCAAAACAGTCATATTATATATTATTTCTGCAGTATACCTACACGATTTTGGTTGGCATATTTGCAAGGTAAAGAATAAAAAAACGCCAAAGTGAAGTATATTTTAGCTACTGACCTCCCCCATCCTCCCTTCAATCTGTTAGAAACTGTTCCAATTCGTCTCAACTACTAGTGCTTTCTGTTCTAAGGTCATCTTCCTTCTACTCTTTATTGATGCTGTAGAAATCTATTCACGTACACATTTTCTTCTCTATTAAAATGTAAGCTCCTTAAGTGGAGAGATTCCTTTTGTTTTTGACTTTCTTTGAACTGCCAATGCTTAGCTTACTGCCTAGCACATAGTAAGCACTTAATAAATGCTCATTAATTGGTTGATGTCTTGCTGAATTGTTGATGACTTGTTTCGGTAGAAGGGAATATGGGAAACCAGGAAAAGGAATAGAAGGTGTTATCCATTAAGTACACTTGGGCAGGTGAGTGAGGATATTCCTCCTCACCCACATCCCCCAGTAGAATATGTCACTTCTGGGATGTAGTAGTCATTATGGTGACAAAGTCAATGATAGTGTTCTGGATGATTTTATTTAATTAGAGAAGGAAGAGACTGCTTTGAGGTATCTTGCCAAGGATATTTGTAGGAAGGAATGCAAAAGCATACATGATAATCTTGCATATTTTTCTATGATTCGTAACATGCAACTTTTTAGAATTTTCCATTCTACCTTCTCAAAAATTTGTGTTTAGCAAAGTGGTAGATAAACCGTTTCCCCATCATTGCAACTACAAATCTCATCGGTCTTCAAGTTGACCAGACTCATGTCTTATTCTTATCTTACTCTTCAAAAGCTTTCTCAGATAGTAACATTAAACACAAGTTTATCAATAAAAGAAAATTTAGCTAATGAGGAAGTTAGGACCGATCTCATGCTTCATGTTTAGGAACATCTCAATCCTTGTTGCTATCTACTGACATCTGGAATGGTCTCCACCTTCCTTCATGACAAACACCTGTCCTACAGGCTGCTTCTCTATCCCAACCCATCATCATCATTAGTGATTTCAGTGTCCACTCTGGGGAACCTTCTAACACCTAGATTCTCAACTTCCTCAACTCCCATGACCTTCATCTTAAGCCATGCACAAGTATGGTCACCATATCTAGATCTCACCATTATGCAAAACAGATCCATCTCCAAGTTTATAAGCTCTGACATTCCTCTCTTTAACCATAATCTGCTGACTTTCCATTCTTCCCACGACTACATTCCTCCAAAACCTGCTTTTTAGGGACCATATTCCAGCCTTTTTTAGTTATGTCTGACTCTTTGTGACCCCATTTGGGGTTTTCTTGGTGAAGATACTGGAGTGGTTTGCCATTTTCTTCTCTAACTCATTTTATACTTTGGGGACCACAGTAACTTTATATAGCTTGATCTTTCCCTATTTCCCCACCCATGTTATGGTTTAATTTTCTTTCTTTCACATGTTCAATCTTACAGTAGGTAATTTCAATAAAATTTGTCCTCTACAACTGCATCCCTTACCCTTTGATTCTTCTGCTAGTTCTACATAGACAACACAAAATCCTGTCTGTCCCTTCACTTGCTTTCCTCTTTCCTATTTACAAAGTGCTGGTGGAAGAAGTAAAAAAAAATTATGATGACTATTGCAAATGTATATACTTGAACTTCAAAATGACCCTTCACTGCTGCATGGAAATCCTTTAATGCTTTCTGATTGAACTCTATCCCATCCCCAACTATAGCAGCTATTCCAAACCTTTTTCTTCTCTGCCTTTAAACACTCAATCTCTACCCTTTTTTTCTTAGAAGATGACCTCCATATCCATGTACTTTACAGTATTGTTTTGAGGAAAGTGCTTTGAAAACCTGAAAGAGTTATCTGAAAAGTGAACTATTATTTATTATGACTTTACTGAGTTGAACCTGACCAGATATATTAAAAAAAAGAGGTGACACCATTTTAAAGGTACTTGGGGACTGATTTTAAAGATGTCTCAGAGGTGACAATTCCATGAGAATGGAGAAAGATCATAGACAATGGTATGACCCAAAAAATGGTAACTGAGGAGATGCTAGCAAATACTGGCCTACAGGGCTACTTTTTCCTCTTTAAAAACTTTCTGAGAATTCTCTCTGCATATAGTCATTTAACTCTGTCTGCCTCAGTTTCCTTATTTGTAAAACGGGGATAATAACAGCACCTATCTTCCAGGGTTGTTGTGGGGATAAAATGGGATATTTCTAAAGAGCTTTGCAAACCTTAAGTGGCTATAAAAATGCTAGCTACTATTATTATATAATTATTAATAATTATTTAACTAATTATATAATTATATCACTACATAATTCTATAATAAACACAATTATGAAATACTTAATAAAATTACTATATTTAATATATCATCTAAATTATTTATTAGTAACTTATTCACCAAATATATAATATACAACATGGTAACTATATAATTAATATATCATGTAATATTAATCATATTTTCTATAAGTACTCATTAATAGTTATGATTTTGTAATATGATATGTTATGTAATTATGATCTATTATAGATGTATAATGCTTTACAATATAATTATAACATTACTATATTATTTTGAGGGCATCCTTAATGACAAGGAGAGGAAGGACAGTCTGGTTTTTGTTGTTATTTTTTTTTTTGTGAGGCAATCAGGGTTAAGTGACTTGCCCAGGGTCACAGAGCTAATAAGTGTCAAGTCTCTGAAGCCAGATTTGAACTCAGGTCCTCCTTACTCCAGGGCCTGTGCTCTACCAACAATCTGTTTTTGAAGATTATTTTCTTCAGTAGACCACATCTTTTTAGTAGCACAAATGACTGAAAGCTGTAAAAAAATAAAAAACCACATTGTACCTACTGGTTTGTTGATTATAAAAGCTGCTTCAAAGGCATGTGTGTGTGTGCATTTAAAATGCAAGACTCATGATAGATTTGCCCACAGCCAACTATGCCAGTGCTCTGCTGATTATCAGCTTCAAACCAAGTATAAAAAAAGCACACAAATGCTCACTATAGGTATTTAAGTGCATCATGGGGGCTGCCCTGTGAAAGTCCAAGTAAAAGGGGGATTTTAGGTCAATTGAGACGTACCCCACAAGTTCCTCTTTACACATGATGTTGCAGTGACCACATCAAGCCCTGGAACACTATAGGATCTTCACAAAGAGATTTATGGTCACTCAAAAGTCTAATCATGGACATTGGAAAAAATGAAGAGAATGAAGAATATTTTCTCAAGTTGGATGGATAGTCCATTGGGTTATTCTCCAGTACATATGTGATAGACAGATGCTGTAGATGGAAGGTGATCCAGGCTCTAAATTGAATAGGAAGAGTGAACTTGGATGGGTTGCTTTTGGGAAACTGTAGTGTACATTGGGGATACAAAGAAAGGTGAAACCAGTCCCTCCCATCAGGAATTCATATTTGAATGGTCATATCAGAATTGATCCTTTCATAATTCACCATTTTCCTGTTATTTTTCCTTTTGTACCGCCTGCTCTATCAATAAAGAACCATACATCATCTTTACGTGAGATTTTCATGAATTGGATTCTAATTTGAAAAGTAGTAGGTGGGCAGGGGTCAACCGTCACTTTCCATTTAAGGATGTTGTAACTTGGAGTCAGGAAGATAAAAGAATTGCTTAAAACCATTCAGATAGTCACGAATGAACCTGAAAATGAAGCTCAGATCTTTGGTCCTTTCTATTAATTAGACATAATGTTTTAGTTTTTATTTAAGTTGGTCTTACATCAGGGCATTGCTTAACATGTACCCGTCAATTTTAAGGAAAGTCAAGGTAAGTAGATTTTGTCAAGGAAATATGTAGGAATAAAGACTGAACTTCAGACGTTTGTTATTGTGTCCTTCCTTATTTCTGTAAAGGTTTCTAACAGGTCTTTTTCCTCTCAAAATGCTTTTTAGAGAGGAAATCACATATGAAAAATTACATGAATTTAGGTTTCAGACTGAGACTTTATTTATACAACTCAGGAAGTTCAGTTTCCCAGGGTAACCCTAACTTTGAAAATACACTATTCATTAAAATTAGGCCTTTCACATTACATGATTGTATAGCCCCTACCAAGTCAACATTTTATTTGAAAATAAGAGCATAAATGTAACACACTTCTGTCTAACAGAAGACTAGCACATCTGGAATTTTCTAGATGACTATGAAAAGAGAGATTTAGAAAGGCACAGGAGGGCTATACTGTACTCTGAAATTCATGACTGGTGTACATTGAAATATCTATCTCCATTAAAGTATATTTTAATAAGTATTTAATGAAAGGAAATTGAGGACCGTAGAGAGAATATAAGTATTCAATTTACTCAGAGGGTACCACTACCATTCATCTCAAAACCCAGCAAACAATGGGTAGGGAAGCTAGACACACCATGAGGCCTGAATTTGAATGCAAGACTCACTTTCCTCAACTTTAAAATTGTGAAAACAGTACTTGTCCTTTTTTATTCCACAGGGTTCCTGTAAGAACATTGCCTTGTATAGCACCCCCTTTGCTATGCATGATAGAGGTCCTTCCCTCTCTCTTCCCTCCTCTTCCTGAAGAACTCCATGGATTTATT